CGGGGTAGGGCCAACACAGCATGCCAAGGATCAAACCCTGGTCTCTTTAGTCCGCTGAGCTATCAGGCCAGCCCTAAACTTGAAGAGGATTCTTTTTTTTTTTTTTTTTTTTTTTTGGCTGGCTCAGGCTGCCTTAAGGGTGAGACTGGTGTGGCATATGATGCTGGGGATTGAACCACAGTCCCTCATCCCTGACTGATTTTGCCCAAGCAGGTGCTTTAGATAACAGAGCTAACCCACCAGGCCCCTAGCACCACTAGTTTTAAATGTATTGAAGTTGTTAAAGTCATTCAGAGGTGACAGACCTCTGAATCTGACCTTCAGATTTTTATTGTGATGTTATTAATTCATGGGTTTTAATATTTTACCTGTTTCAATAATTTACTGTTATTTATGCTCACTTTTTTTCTATATTTCACTAGAAGAAGCTTGTTTCCAGTGGCTCCTGAGTACTACTGGTCCAGTCTCTTCTTCACGGATACCTAGCTTTTTTCTATGGTGCAATATTTCAGACCTAAATCAGAGCTTGGTCGCATGTCAGAAAACCATGACTTCTTTATTTTTATTACTTATAGACCACAATTCATTGCTCATTAACATGTTTCTACTTAGTTGGTCATTGCTTCTAAGCCTTGTCCATGGAGAAGGCTAGGAGAGAGGGTGTGCGTGTGTGTGTGTGTGTGTATACAACTTCATGTTTTGTTTTCTATTTTCAGAGCAAAACCTTCTTAGTTCAAATGTGAGGTTAAGCTTTCCTTAACCTTATTTACCTTCTGTCATAGTTGATACGTAAAGCCTTGAAACTGCATGAGGTTATTAAGGGCTAGAGAACATAGAAGAGATTCTGAGGACACAACTGTGGGGTTTCCAATGGTCTTCCAATAAAGACCACAAACAAATGACCATTGAAGTAGAAAAAAAATTAAGGGAGTATATTGTTCTTAAACCCAAGAGAAAAAAAAAAAGATCAATGAAAAGGGCATGATTTGACTACAGTTCTACTACAAGAAAAATAAAATGAGGTCTAACAAGTCATCACTGGATTTATTAACCTGAACATCTTTGATGTTAGTGATGAAAGTAGTTGTGGTGGGCCGGGGAGCTGGCTCAGTGGAATAAGCACTTCCCTGGCAAGCGCAAGGGCCTGAGTTTAATCCCTGGTTCCACCAAAAAAAAAAAAAAAGAAAGAAAGAAAGTAGTTGTGGAGAAGTGACGAGACTCAAGTGATGTGACTTGATAGAGAATGGGAGGAGAGTAATTTTAGGTGAGATGTACAGACTTGAGCGTGTGCACAGAAGCAGGAGCTGTTCATCACTCAGAATAGGAAAGAAGGCAGATTATGTATGTGCAGAGCAGATGGGGCAATGACAGCTAGTGATATATATATATATTTTTTTCTTTCTGTTTTATCTTGGCACTCTTAAAACAAGATCATCAGAGCTGGAAAAAGTAAATGTTAAAAATGTAGAAGTTATTGAGGAAAAAGCAAAAATGATTGGATAATTAAAAAGTATTCTCCTAACAGTGTCTCTACTGTGTAGTCAGGTTAATGGTCATTAACATACAATAAGCCCTGAGGACATATCAGGGAGTCCTCTAGTAATTTGAAATCCATGTGGAAGGCTGGGGAGATATCTCAGCATTCTAAGCACCTGCCTGGCAAGTGCAAGGAGCTGGGTTCCATCTCCAGAACTATATGTGGTACAGCCCTAGAACCTGGGGTGCACCATACTGGCCCCTGAAAATGGGTGTGGTGGTGCACTCATGTAATCCTAGTCCCAAGGAGGCTGAGACAGAAGGATCACTGTGAGTCCAAGCTGCATAGCAAGACCCTGTACCAAGTAAATCAGTAAAAGATTTTTAAATACATTAAAAATTAAAATCCATGTAGATACAAACATAGCTTAGACAGATTAAACTGAGTGAGGTTTACCAAGAAAGAACAAATCAAGAAATAAGAACATTGAAGAAAACAAGAAAGCATGATTAAAATGATTGCCTGATACAACTCTGGTAAGAAGGGAGAGACGAACATGGACATTGTAGACTGAATGATGACATGCATTCCCCTAATAAACTGTACTCCTTTCGTTATGTGTATTTAGTACAGGGTCTACAGGGTCTCACTACATAGATTGGACTCACAATGATCCTCCTGTTATCAGCCTCCCAAGTGCTGGGATTACAAGTGTACACCACTATGCCAAATCCTTTTTTTTTAAATCAATGTACTTCTAATCCCCTTTATTTTTTTTACGGGGGTGCAAATCAGTTCCCTCTGAGGGTGAGGCTGGCACTGCATGTGGTGCCAGAGATTGAACAGTGGTCCCAAGCCTGCCTAAGCTTGCCTAAGCAGGCGCTTTATATTGCTGAGCTATCTCACTGGCCCTAATCCCTTGTATTTGTAAAGATGACCTTTTACCAAAGTAGGATCTTCACAGATGTCACCAGATTAAGAAGAGGTTATAGAGAACCTTTCCTCGCCCTCATTGTGACCGAGAAAGTTGATGTTTGAAACCCCAAGAAACTGAATTAATTTCAATCTACCACTTCCAGTGCAACCCATGGCAAGAATAAAGACACTAAGATATATTTGTAGTTATGGGGAGCCAAGGGGTCCTAAGTCCAGCTACAATGATGGCTATCCAGAATAAAGGCCTCCACCCAGGACTGAACCTGAGTTTTATTCATGAAGAAGAGAGTGCTTTGAAGATGAGAGACTTAGAATTGTGGGAAGTAGGTGAGTGCTGTGAGCTGGGCTGGGTAGGAGGCCTGAAATCACCTTGCAATATTCAGAGAGGATTTGCAGAAAGAGTAACCTGCATAACACAACTAGGATAATATCAAATGTTTTGGGGTCAGTGCTTGCTTCTACTCTGATGTGTAGATTTTCAAGCCTCAGGAAATTGTAGCCTCTATCTCAAGGCTCAGTCTAAGTTGACAGCGTGGATCATTGGCATGGAGCATCGACTCTTCATCCCATCTCACCCCAGCTCACACAGGGAACAACAGGTGGGGGTCCCCAAGAAACACACCTGCCTTCTTCAAAGACTACCATCAGTACCTCAGCCTGAGCAGTATGCATTGCCTAAACCCAATTGAAGATATAAGGAAAAGTCCTAGCCAGCTCAGTACATGTCAGTATATGGAAATAGGGTCAGGTTCAGCCAAAATGAAGATGATTGCTTCTCCTTCAAGGGGAGCTACCCGGGTGGTCCTGCACAGTGGTCAATGGAGTGGGCCCTCAGCCAGTAGGCCTTAGTGGTGTTCCTTTAAGGACAGGAGAAAAAAAAAAGGAGAAGATAGTTGTGTGGAGTGGGAGATTGGAGTGACACATCTATAAGCCAAATGATGCCAAGAGCTGTCAGAAAACACCAGGAAGTAGAAGAGAGGCAAGGAAAGACTTGAAGGGAGTTATAGAGGAAGTATGGGTCTATGCACGCCTTACTTTTGGACTTAGTGCCTCCCAAAATATGAGGCAATGTAGTTCTGCGGTTTTATGCCACCTAAGTTGTTGCTACAGCCTTAAAAACGTTCACATATAATCTAAGTTTCAAACCCTACCAAAGTAGAAGAGTCACAAGGTTGCCTCAGATATCACATGGCCCCTGAAAGCTTCATAGGAAAACTCTCTTGACTCCTAGTCTACAGCAGGAAGGAGACCCTGAGGTTGAACACAATCCAGTGCAGGACTCTGTATGAAAAGCTCTGGATGTTATGCAAAGTAAAGATTAGGGACATTCACAACAGCAGCATTAACTGGAGCCTCTAGAAGTAAGGAAAGTCATGCTAGATAATTAATTTGAGCAAGATGAGAATGGACCAAATAAGAGGGCAAATTATAGATCTTGCTTAGGAAAAATAGACCTTTTGCTCTATTGACTCATAAATAGTACCTTCCGTTTTATTCACCAGTGGCCAGATAGAGACACGTGAAAAGTATAACACTTAGAGCTGTTCGTTCACTATTTCTGAAGGCAAAGCCTGGTTTGATTGCTAAAATTAAATACTTGGTCTTTAAGAGTTCATATATACCATTGCTTAATTGTACATTTGAAGAGAAGCCTACCTTTCCTTTTTATTCTTTTGTACTAAAATACACTAGTAAAAATATTAATTAACTATCACAACTGTATAAGAGATGAATTTACATAATGATACCTTCTGATCATTTAGTGCTTGGTTACTGGCAGTGTGCTTTTGAGTATGTGACATAATTTAATCCTTAAAACAACCCTGTGTATTTGTTTTCTTTTTTAGATGGAAAAAATTTTTATTTTTACAGAGAAACTTAGAAGCAGTAAAAACTAAGTGACCAAACCAGAGTCACTGCCATTTAAGGACAAGGTGAACCTTGGGAAATTCTTATGTCTAACTCATTGATGGTAGAAATCAAATGCAAACTAATACTGCTCAATGTCTCCTAAAACTGTTCCTTGAAAAAAGAATTTGTTAGAACTTTAGAATTTCTCAGTGTAAGAAGTTCTCTTTCCCTTGGAATTAAATAGACTACACGGCCAAATGCAAAAATTAAAAAAACAAAAAACAGTGTTTTTCTAATTCCAAGGCTCCTATAAATCATGGATGTGAGGACTGGTGGGTCTATTAGACAATTAAGTCCTTCTGTAACAAGCTCCTAAGAGTTTGGAACTTAACCTGATACCTGATCTCCCTGGATTCTAGAATCCAAGAGGGAAAGTTAAACTGTGCAGCAATTTTGCCAGAGAGCGTTTTAAATAAAAACAAACAAACAAACAAAACACAAAGATCCCAGTGACGTCCCAAAGGAACGGCTGGCTTGCAAACTTCTTGGAAGGAGAAGGAGAGATCTTTGTTGCAAGCTTCCGTCCCTCCTCTGGCTTCTGTTCTCTCACCCTGTGCCCCCTGTGGAGTTGTGTTTTCTGGGAATCCGCAAGTAAGATCACAAGTAGTCTTTTCTTTTTTCACTCTCTCCCATAAAGAAAGCTTTATCACGTGTGGCCTTAAACTTGCAGCAAGTGGCAAAGAAATGGCTCAAAGGCTGGTACAGCGCTTTCTGTGCCTTGGGAGCTGAGATGCACGTCAGTGGCCTTGCCAGCGTGGCCAATTCTCTGCAGACTGCCAGAGAAAAGAGGCCAGTTGGAAAGGCGAAAGAGGAGATTGCCCAGGGTTCGGACCATGTCCTGCATCTTTTTTCATCCCTAATCTGCTCTGTCTCTGTCTACCCTGGCTCTTCTGACCTGGCAGAACCGCCCAACATTTCTGTGGGATTTACCTCAGTTTCCTCTTTCAGTCTGTGATGTATGGTTCAGCTTCTTTTTGAGCTCATTGCTAGGAACAGGCTGTCTTTGACCTCCACTTCCAGGTAAGATTTGGTTCTCTTCATTTGAATTATGCCAGATTCTCCTGGGAGAGAAGCTAATGAGCCCTTCATTCCTGTATTATTTGTGGTTTATCCCTAGCACTTCTCAATGAAAGCTGATCGGCCCTTGTTAGTTTGGTGGAAGTAGGAGGGAGACTGGTTAGAGAAGTCAGGAAAACCTAAGCTGGGATTCGAATTCTAACTCTGTTGCTTGTGGTTTGGGTAGTTTGACAAGTCACTTAACTGCTTTGAATCCTTTCAGATGGGAGATTATTGTGCTTCACTTGCTGGGTTGATTTAATATTTACAAAATTATATATATATATATATATATATATCACCTGCTTTAAAAGTACTACTTCCTAAATCTGAATCCAACACTAATACATATTTGTAAGAGGAAAGAGTAACCTTTCTAAACCACACATGCTCCCCTTAGCAGTGACGATGTAGTTATCACTTATACCTTTTGCAAGGAGGGATCCTGGAGCCCCAGAGCCAAGCTGGTGCAGAGGTTCTTCTCCTAGATCGCAGAGGGGAGAGAAGGGAGAAGCTGCCTCCCTACTTCCCCTTCCTTGGAGTCTCAGCTACAAGACTTCAGAGTATCTGTGTGCTCCAACTCGGCATTCTTCAGCCACTGGAGGTCCCAATAAGACTGCAGATTGATTCTTAAACCCAGGTGAATCAAGAATTCATTTTCCTTTCAAAGTAAAATAAAGTACAACTGCTGACTTTGCTTTATTTTGGCCTCCAGAATAAGCTGTATCCAAACTCAGGGTGATCAATGAGAAATTTGCCAAGGTGACCCGAGAGCAATTAAGGATGAGGCAGAGAGAAATCCTTCTAGATAACTGTTTTCCAGTCCTAACTGTGCAAGTGCAAGTGGAGAGAGACTGTGTGCCTGAGATCTTCTATTCTTGCCAATGAAATTCTTTCCCCCTGTTTCCAAGGGTTGAAGATGTCCACGCCCATAAGCTATGCCACTTTGACAGATTACTGCTTTTACAGGGTTAGCACATTGGCCATGGAGATGACACTGCTTCCAGCAAAACTCAAAGGGTCGATGTTTTGAGCTGACTGCTATTTTAGTTAATATATGATTAACTAGGATCACTCTAGTGGTCTTCTGTGATCCCTCTTGCATTCCAGTTAGAGGAACTTTTGAAAACAGTCACATCGTGGTCAACTAAAGGTAGAGTAATGAACAAGGTAGTGTTGGGGCCCTTGTTTTTCAATTCAGATATTCCATAAAATGAAGTTAAAAATGGTAATTATTTTTTTCTTTTCTAAAGCATGAAAACTGCATGTGATTCACTAAAGCCAGACCTGGCAATGGAAGCAATCTCTGTCCGATCATATGGGTCAAACTCTTTCTTGGCTTAACTTAGTACCTTTCCTAACCAGAATAGGGAGAGATAACAGAAACTGATACTGAGTTTCTGTGGGCCAGGTATTGTACTGAGTACAAATATAACACGTAATCCATGAAACATCCATATCATTTTTATTCAGCACTTCCAAATATAAGACAAATTTAATGTACTTGCATGTCTCAGCTTTTAAAATATTTTATTTTCAATATTTTTCTCTTTAACATTATAAAGATAGTTAACCCTTTGAGCTTTTAAAGATACATTTACGTTAAGTGGTAGGGTATTATTAAACATTTGCTATTTACATTTGGAAAATCAGCTGATACGAGAACTCTTAAATCAGTAAGCCAGTTTAAGACAGGGTAATCTTTGACAAAGAATTACATTTTATCTGTAAACAATATGTATTTTATGTAGTAAAATCTTCCTGGTTTCTACATTTGTTCTCACTAGTACAGAAAATGATAGATATTAGAAAATGTAGATATACAAACTTTTTTTGACAAATCATATTCAGTGATGTCAACCAGAAATGTGTTAATTTTCTGCTTATAAACTTTCTCAAGATTCCTTTCAGGCCATTTGGATATTTTGGCATTTTTCATTGTAAGTCCTGGGTCTCTGTAGTTCATTTACAGACTGTCAATAATTTCATGGAAATCTACTTTATATAACTGAGTGTTTTGCAAATCCTATTTTATTGTTCTCATAAAACATTGTTCTGGAAAAGCAATCAGTTATTTGGTACATATAGAAAGTTGGATAATTTATCAGATAATGTACAGATAAATATCTGTATTCTTAGTCTCTTAGAATTTGTTTTTGTTATTAAATCAGGAACAGATGTTGAATCTAATTAAATGATGCTTTTCCTTCTGACATCTTATTATTTTGTAATTTTAAATTCTTCATATGATTAATTAGTGAATAAAATTTACTAGGTATTGTTAAAATTTGAGGATAATCCTAATTATAAAGTACTAATTAATTAATTTGAATTTGCTATCATTTTCTTTGGGATTTTCTAATTTCTGGACTCATGAAGCTTTTTTTGCAGCACCAGGGATTGAACTCAGGACCTTGTGTTTGTCAGGGAAGCACTTATTTTGTGATAGCTGGATGTGAGTTCATTATCAGCAGAAATGAGTTTGTCAGATGAATGTGAACAATGCCCATGTGTTTCCACATACCTGGTTTCTTTCTTTGAAGGTCATCCCTTGATAAGGCATTGTTGACATATTGTCACCTATCCTGCATGCCTTTGTTTAGGGTACAACTTTACAGTGTTTTTGCTAATGTCTTCCTTGGGTATTTTTGTCTTCTGGTTTGTGTCACATCAAATAATTATTATAATTAATATTTGGTAGAAAGTTACTGAATTTATCATCATTTTACAGTTATTTCTGTATGTCAAAGAGAATTTTTGTTTGGATTCGTATTTTAATTTCATTGATGTTTTATTCATATGTCTGTATCTTTTGATATGCCCTAACCTTATCAGTTCTATACTTTGTTTGCATTTTGGTTTTATATTTTTTGTTTGACTCACTGTTGTTTCCTTTGCCTAGTTTTAAAAATTAAAATTATAC